GTCAGCGAACGTACAAACTCGTTAGTCACGATCAGAGACACGCCACGGCTCCCACGGCGAGCGTCGGCGGTCGGCCGTGCTCGATTCGGCCCGTTTCGTGCGTACCGAGCAGCTGGCCGCCCTGATCAGGCCACTCACGGGGGTGTGCGGCCCGCCCCCTCACTAACGGTGTGGCACCGCTCGCGTGGGACCGTCCACGATGCAGAGATGGAGCCCGGTGCCGTGTTGGTGCGAGCTGGCGTCACTGAGAGGCGGTGGTCTCTCTGACGTGATCTCTGCGGCTGACGTACCCACTGACCTACCAGCTGTTAGAAAGGCCGATCGGCAGGGGGTGGGGGTGGAATGATTGCACGGAACGACTCCGGGCCGAGGTCTAATCTCCACCAGCAGTGGGCAGTCTTGATCTCTCGACCATCTGGATGGCTTCTGGTGTCTCCACAAGCCTTAGGTCCTCCCTGACCCCCCCCCCCGCCCCCTCCAAAGTCTGAGGTCCTCCCTGACCACCAATCTGAGGTCCTCCCTGACCTCCTGCAAAGTCTGAGGTCCGTCCCCCTGACCTCCCCACTAGTCTGAGGTCCTCCCTCCACGAGTTTGAAGTCCTCTCCCGACCTCCCCCACCGGCTGACGGTGACGGTCACCACTGACATTGATGAGACACCGGCCCGCTCGTGTCACAGTTACTGGTCAATCACTGGGCCGTAAAAGAAACAAATAACACGGCCGTAAACGAACAGAATAGCCGAGTCGTAAAAATGAATCACTTGACAACGAGGCCGGCCACCCGTTGAAGGCTGGAAGACAGCGTGCTGTGAGAGGACTTCTTGACCTTTGGGATGATCCGTATCATGTCTGCTGTCATGACAGGCTTTGTATTGTTTTTTTTTATTTGTAAGCAATGTCCCCTTTCTTACTGTCTCACAAACCGTGCTGTGTCTTTAAGAGGTTAGTAGTCAGCAGTTTTTAGTTCGTCACTTCTCGTTGCATGCTTACATAAAGGACACTTCTTTGGAAGTGCAAAGGATGCTTTGTTTGAAAATAAATAGGTGTACTTAATGTCATGATTAATCGATATTTGTGTTCCACTCATCGTTAAGTAGCTGCAGTTCTGCAGACAAGGCTTTAGCAGAAAAACAGCTTGCTAAAGCCACTCAATCGGACCGTTTTGGCGTCGCGTGGGCGGCACTCGTCTGACGCGCAACAGCGGTAGCCTTGTCTTTTTTCCATTACGATAACATCTACGACCGAATCGCTTCTGCTGGAGGCTGGTGGATCGGCCGCTGACGTGCCCCAGTCACGCTCGCGGGGCGGGCGCGCTGCTGTAAGTGCCACTGCCCGGGACCCTGACCCGTGCAGCGGGCTGGCGGCGGGGCGGGGCGGGCCGGGCCGCCTCCGTCCTGTCGTCTGTCCGCTGTTGTGACAGTATTGATACAGGTCGGTGGCGCGCGGGGGCGATACTGTCACCAACTGATAGATGCCACCCGCCCGCGCACCCGGCCGCTGCCTCACAACAAATAACTGAATACATAATGTGCCTGTGCCGCAGCGGCCGCCGGCAGCCGAGAGGCGGGTAAAAACGTGCCTCCGGGACCCGGACCCTGGCGGCACGCCGCGGCCGCCGGCGCGCGCCGCGACATGGGCGGGACGCACGACGGCGGCCGCTCACCAGGTTATCGGCGCTCGGCGGCACCGCCGACGCGGCAACTGCATTTGCGAGGCGGCGGCGGCGGCGGCAGCCCCGGCTGGCGCGCGCCGTCGCTGGCCTTCACTGGAATGTCGGCGGGCGGCGCGCGCTGTCGAACAAACCGTCCGGTCACGCGCGCCCACCGCCCGCCCATAGTACGGCGTCGGTGGTCCGACCCCCGCCCAGGGCCGGCGGCTGGCCATAGATCCGTCTGTCCGGGCCGATCCGCTATCCGGACACATTACAGCGCACGTCTATCATTCTGATTGCGCGCAGTCGTCGTTTAGTGGGCAATAATTGGCTCTGATTTTTTACCCGGTCGGCCGATCGGCCGGACCGAGTCGGCGACTGACGGCGGTGAGTCTGGCTGTCTGATGGTATCAGACGCCCCGGGCGGGGGACCGCTGGTGAGTGAGAGCACGCGCCGCGGTGGGCGCCGGCTCCGCCCGGTGGCGGCCCTCTGAGGACCGTCCGGATGACTCCCTGTGACAGCGGCGCACGGTTGGAGCGGCGCCGGCACGCTGGCAGAGACGGACGGCCGCCGCCCGTTTCCTGACGTTATTGGCAGCAGAGGATCGGGAATGGACTGTCGCCGACGGACGGGACCCGCCGCATGCCTCCTCGTCGTCTTGTGCAAACGGCGGCGCCGCGCGGATCGGACAGAGGCCGGGAGGTGGGGCTGCACACCTCCTCTCCCAGAGCCGGCAGTAATGGCCTGTCAGGGCGCCTTCGCGCCGGTTCGACACTCGCCCGGCACCCAGCAGCGCTCGAGTGCAGGCCATTAGGCATGAATAGTGACAAAGGCGCGCCGACCACTTGGAGCGCTTAGTCGCGCGACAGTGACCAGGAATGCGGCGCCGCGCTGTGCGGCCTGGGTTGCATGAATAGTAAGCGCTCGGTGCGGCTTTTTTGGTAGTTCAGCCGGCCGCCACGGCTCCTGTAACTGTACCGTCCTACTGGGGATGGAGCTGCTTGGGCGTGCACGTAATCTAGGCCGTTACACGTGCGCTTTGCAGGTTTAATTCGAACAACGGATACGATCAGGGTGACTGGGCTTCTTGTTCGTCGCCGTTCAGCGAAAACCTTGGTAGCTGTGCGCACCTGTGGTCGTCGGCCGGCAGATTGTGCGTGACCGGGCTGCTGTAATATCCACTTAACAGGGATATGGTGGGTTCGGCTGTATTCCGAACCGGCCGCTCAGCGGTTCGTTGACACTGCAGGTGCCGGCGATGTGCCGCTGTCAGAGCTCAGCGTGTCCCACGGGCGGCGCTCGGCACACGTGGGTGTCCACCCGCGGCGAGACGGGGCTCGCAGCCAGCCCTGCACCGCTGTCTCGCGGAGCACGGCGCACTGGGGAGGTGCGTGGGCCGCGCTCCCTGTCGGCGGCCTGTCCGAGCCGCCGCGCCGCCCGGGCCGCGCGGCGACCCCGCCGCCCCAGGTCGGCCACCCCTGACCTTCAGAGCCCGGCGAGCTCGGCCGGGACCGAGCTGACCCGGCCGGGTCGTGTGGGCGGCGCCGTCGACTTCCCAGTCTCCCGTGTGTTTGCAGTTTGGTGGCCGTGATTCAGCTGCCCGCTGCGGTGGCCGCGCTGCCAAGGCTGGGCAAATACCGCACGCTGCGTACCGCATAGTGCGTACGGCGTCCCGCTGCCGGGAGAGTACGGGACGTGCGTGGGCGGCTCGCTGCTGTGCGCCGCACGCGCTGGGGCGGGTCAGATGTGGGCCACGGTCCTCGGTCCGCCGCCGGCACACGCAGCAGCCGGCTGGTGTCGCTAGGTGGCACCACTGGCGCCGTGACCTCCCGGCTGCTGTCACTGTTAGCCGCTATGCAGATGAGCACCAAACGTGCCCATCGCAGTATTGGATTGGTTAGCATGTAGCGCGCTACGAGCTGCTCAATTGAAGTCGGAACGGACATGAGGCCCTGACTCAAGTCACGACTTCAAACTCTGCCACGGTTTATATAGGCTGTCCCAAGGTTTGCTGTCAATTATGTTTGTCTTGGTCAAATGCTCGACTTGATCTTCAGTGTAGGAGACGGTCTGTGTGGCTCGTCTGGCGCCGACTGGGGCTCGTTCCGGCTCTGCTTGGCACGGCCGGGGCTCTCGATCGACGCCCGGGGTTGTGTGCGGTGCGAGCGGCTCGGCGCGGCGCGCAGACGCCAGTCATCGGTCGGCGCCGGTGCCGCCGCGGGCGCCGGCCGCTCCACCGTCCGCCCGGAGCACCAGCAGTCGCCGGCGGCGGCAGAAGCCGCGCATCACCACCGGCTGTCGGCCAAGGCCGTGCTCGACAGCGATATATCGGCCCAGATCGGGCCCGGAGACGGGAGCTGTCCGCCCTGACTGAGAGGCCAGGCCGGCCGCCGCCCGCGGGCTCATCTCGAGCCCGGTCACTCACACACACGCATACAAACACACACGCACGCAAATAGCCACACCACCTGGCGCGTTTCGTGCCGTGCTGCTCCCGTGCGTTCCGTGCCTCATCCCTGCCGATGAGCCGTAGGAGATAAGCACGCATTGCTCAGCGCTGGGACCGGCAGCTGTGGGGCGCTGAGCGCTCCCACGCGCGGTCGGACACTCCCCGCTCGACCTCTGGACGGGCAGAGCTGTCCGTGCCAGGTGCCGCGGTGTCCGGCAGCGGGCACCGTCTGTCAGAGGATCGTCCTCTCCCAGTCTGCGTCTGAGTGGTCTGAGGCCTCTCCCAGACGGCAGATTGGCAACCAGAATCAATGGGTGTCTGGTCGCCGCACCCAGGCGTCGAAATTACCATCGCTCGGCGCTACTGCCAGAAGGTGGCTGTGAGTCAGTGAGTGATGCCGGCATGGGTGCGCTGCCCGGGCGGCCGGGTGAGGTGTTAAGCCTTATTTGCACGTCTTTGGTTTGCCAGGGTCGTGAACATTACTGGCTCCAGCTGATCGCCTCAACGGAACAAAAATACCTTTCGGAAAGATGGGGATGCTCGAACGAAGCATCACACAATCATTATTCATTCCCATGTCCTTTGTTGTGTATGAAGTGTGCCAAGAATCCCATGTGTGTCTGTGTGCTCTGTGACACTCTTGTCTCACGAGTGACATCGCCTGACCTCGGTCAGTGCCGACCCGCCTTCCCCAACTCGGTCACCGTTGTCCGGTCCAGTAGTGAGCAGCACCCGCCCTGCAGTGGCGCCCTACGCCGACCGGTGTCACGTTAGGCGCTGTTTATTGACGACGATCGCTGCCGCCCTGATACCCGCGGTCCGTGAGGCGCGTGCTAAATACCTACCTCTGCCGACCTCCTCCACGCCCCCTCTAATGAGTCTCTCTCCTCTGATTGCAGGTGCTCCTAAACAAGGTGCAGCAGAAGGAGCGGTGAGTTAGCGCCGGCACGTGGCGCAGTTTACCACGTAGATCAGTCGGCATGGGCCTGTTTGCTTGTCTCGAATTAGGCCGGCCAATGGCCTGCTATGTTTAGCACGGCGATCGGCGGGGTGGCCGTTAGATGGCGCTGAACAGTCGGCCTCGCCCGGGCCCTCGCCCCCGGTGGGCCATTAGCATTGTGTGTGCACGGCCCTGGGTAGGGACTTGTGACTGGAAGTTCAGCATGCTAACTGAAACTGGGGCTGCGGGAAGGGACTGGCGTGAGAGTTTGCTGACTGGCGGCTGGAAATGCGGGCCAAAAGAGGATGGCTGCAGTTAATGCTACCGGCTGCATGTTTTGAATGTCAACTGGCGAACGCGGACTACGCCGGCAACTGACAAATGCTACCTAACGAGACTCAGACATTTGCCTGCAACTGCTATGACCCCTGGTCCATGATCCCGCTTTGGCTCCGGTACCGGACACTCCCTGCTTGGCCGGTGGGTCACACCCGCCCTGATGGGACCATGTGACCGGCTGCCGTGCCCCGTGTCACGTGCCACCCATCAGGATGTGTCCGACGTGTCACAGATGTGTCCTACATAGCGTCAAAGGGCGGTCAAGGACTCGGAGTGGCCAGCCCATATGCTTGTCTACAGCTCATGGTGAACCCTCGGAATAGACACTGTGCCCGCACTGGTTCTGTAATTAAGCCGGGTCACGGTGTCGCAATACTGCAGTGCTGATGTGAACCGAAACAAAATATTAACCTCGTTTCATAAAGCGAGTCCGTAATTTACGCCGGTTTTTGGGCTTGTATTGCAAGCGCATGTGAAGCGATAAATTTATTTCCCCTTCTCCCTTCTGTTCTTGCTTGCAATACAAATAAATTCAACGATGCAAACTATCGTCATCGCTTCACATGCCCTTACCATGGATGATATAATGGATGATATAACATGATTATTATCTCATCCATGCCCTTACAATACAAGATAAAAAACCGGCGTAACTTATGGACTCGCTTAATGAAACGAGGCCATTGACGTTTCTCAGTTAAGCTACGTTTGATGTTTTGTCACCGTTTGTATCACATGTTCGGGTTCTTCTGTTTCGTGGCTGGCAGGTTCTCTCCTCAGATGGCAACTGACGGCATCCCGAAACTGGACTATGTCATCGACCTGACCTACACCAAGCGCTACTACAGCCCCCACGTGAGTGACCCAGGTCAGGTCAAATACACCTGACCTATACAAGCACGGTGGTGAGTGCCGCAGGTCACGGCAGGCCATACACCTCACTGACCTACTACATATCACTAAAATCACAACAGTCTACAATCTGACGTGAAGTGGCGAACGCTTCGTTTTGTTCTGACCGTCTCAAGCTTGCTTCATTTCTACAGTAAGTGACCCAGGTCAGGTCACGCCCTCCGCTGGTTGGCGCTGTTGTGGAGTCATTGGACAGCATGGTACACGATACCGGAGAGAGGCCACATTTTCACTCCCGTGATCGTCGTGATGGCGATCGGCCTGACGCCAGCGGTAACCTCCAGTGGTCCGGAGCGCGTGTCGAAACCGCGCACAGTTCATTACGTCCGCTGTCGCGATGCGTATCGGCCGGCTGATCGGCCGGCTACAGGCACTGGGCGATGTAGACGGCGGCGTCGACAGGGCGATAAAGCAGACGATACGGTCCGCAGTCGGCGGCCGATCCGCTGGAGACGAGAGCCGCGCACCGCACCAGCAGCCGATCACAGTCGATTACAGGATGTAATTGACGCAGAGACGACTGAAGAAGTGGAGAGTGCATGGGGGACGGACATTTACTCGGCTGCCGATATTTGGTCTTGTGAGTTGGTCGGTCACAGTGTATCGGTAACGTGACGGTTATGTCTGGGGCTATCTATGTTCGGCAGCGCTTGCAAATCACTTCCGACTGACGGTCCTCGTTCTACCAATACGGACCCCGCTGCCGAAAGTGGCCACTGGGCGCTCGTCCGGAAGCGATGCGGCGCGACTCTGGCGGCACTCGGGCGCCGCGGCCACCTCTGACGGGCCGCGATGACGGGCCGCGATGACGGATGACGGATGGGCGCCGCCGCCGACCGGCGAGCGACATGTCGCCGCCAGCCGATGGCGCTGATGGTTCATAACGCGGCGCGATCAGAGCGGCTCCCATATGTCGGCACAGAGGAGCCGTCCACTGCGCCGGGTGACTCAGGTCCGGTCGCAGAAGGTGACTGGCGTGGTGTTGCTGGGTCGTCCACATACCTCCCAGCAGACAGCGTCGGCCGTTGGTGGTCCGTCTGGTCGTGTTTTACATGCTGGAAGTGCGCCTTGCGCTGTTCGATACACATTATCCTTCGAGTCTTCCATTCGTTAATTTAGCGTTATTATATAATGCCGCATATCGTTGTTTTGATGTCGGGCGTCATGATGGTAATATCCACTTAATTAATTTATGGCGCATACTAAGTACCTCGATCATTAAGATAGCTTGTCAAGTCCATTTCATAAACACGGAGCCGATTCTCTAATCAAGGCCGCGGAGTCTGGCGGTCGCTGCCGGCTGGGAACTGGCCGACCAAGGCTGTACGGCCGACCGACGGCCCTTCCCGGCTGGCTGGCCCGCGCATGCTGGGGCCTTGACTCGGTCGTACCTACTCGGGCTGTGCTCGACTCCACTCGACTCCCCTCTCCGTGCCCCCCCCCCCCCCCCCCCGTTCTCGACGCAGCTCTCCTGCCGATAGCGCTGTGAAGTCCCGAGTTCGGACACGTCTTTTATCGTCTCCCTATCAGTGGAGATTGACTGGCCTTGCACTGTTCGACCGTACTGATACCCTCGCCGTGACCCCAACCCCTGCCCTCCTACCCCAACCCCATCTCCCCACACATCCCCATCCCCACCCCCTCTGACCCACAAACGGTAGGCACTCGAGATAGGCCATAAGCCTATCGCCTCGCCGAGCATCATGTATGTATGTTTCAAAACATTGACTACGGTGCAGTGTACGATGGCTTAGTTTTCCTTGTGTGACTGCGAACTCATTTTAGTTCCTCATAACACATGTTCAGAAGGTGTCGAATTTATGATGGAAAGGTCGATCATCTGGGTATTAGTTTACGAGGGTCAATGCGTTGATAGCAATATGTCACTGAATACACCTGATGCAGCGTTTTGTCAACCTGCTGCTCACCGTCAGGGCTCCACGGAGTGGCGCCTTCACTTCATGGGAGATTTCAACCGGGCTCAAAAATTGTGACGATAACCTTCCTCAGTGGAATGACGGGCCGATTTGGGGGAAAAGGCCCGGTCCAGTCCCGCCCGAACCCTGGTCACCGCCGGTCCAATCCCGGCCAAACCCCAAACCGCCACTGACCGGGCACGCGGCCGGATGTGACCGATATCGACGTCCTTATGTGACTTAACTCTGAGAACCAGTGACGCAACGTCATCGTCGTCATCACAGCCCGTCATCTGAGTAAATTGTATGGAGGGCACTTGGACCGGCCCGGGGAGCCCCCGACCGCTCGCCGCGCCCTCCTCTCTCCGCGCTGACCTGACCCGACCTCGGGCGGCCTTAGCACGTCGCTCCGCAGTGTTGACGCCACGTGGCATGACGTCAACAGGTCGAGTCCCGAATACGTCATCTGTGGCGACAGTGTCCGGACGAGCACCAAGAGGCTTTCTGTGTCCACTTGTCGTCATCGGTATTGCGCATTTTGAGAGCGATAGGAAACGACACGTGGACACGAGCAGCCTGCGTCAAGCGCCGCTCGTGCCTTCCATGCCGGTCTCGTGGCGGTCTCGTGCGGCTCGTGCCATGCTCGCGCGCGTGTGTCGCTAATTGGCTCATCAGAGTGACGGCCGGTGACGCGCTGGACAGATGACAAATGACCCGATGCGCCGATAGGAGATCGAAGGCGATAGGCGGCGCCCTTGGGACGCGGTGATGGACGGCTTCAGCGCGTCGAGCCGATGTCGGAATGTGGGTGACTTACCGGTGAGACCGGCCGGCCGGACCCTGTCGGGGAGCTTGTGTGGTCGTCGGTCATGGGGCTGATGGAATGGAGCTCACGAGTGGTGTTGTGTACGTGGGAGCAGGATTCTCTCCCGTGCTGAGGCTGGGATGATTTGTGACACATGCTGAGATCGCACTGTTATTCGAAGTCAGCAGGAGCTACGTTCCTGGGTGCCAGGCATGTCCACGGTGTCTCCCAGGTCTCAGTGGTCACATTCTGACGTTTTCTGTTCGCTGACGTAGAAGCAGGAAGTCGTCGGACCCACTGCGGAACTGGCAATCTGCGCGAGCAAACATGCCTTTGTCCAGCTGGGATCCTGTTTCCCATGTGCGGATTATCGCGCCGGGCCCGGCGGCTGGGACAGCGGAGACCTTGCCGGGACCTTGGCGGATTTCTCGTACCCGGCACATCACCGCCCCGAAGGCTAATCCGATCCGGCTTCGACATCCGCCGAACCTGTAAACCCTTCTAATGGGAGAAGTCGCGCCGCGCCGGCCGCGACGGCACGAAAAACAAACGGCCCGCCCACGTGATCAGACCTGTGACTTGCAGTCTGCTCGTCGTGGCTCGCATCGAACTGGTCACGGTGGCCCGGGTGGCTCCTGCCTGCACGGCTTTGGTCACGTGTCCGGCACGTGCCGCGTGTCCTCTGCCCTCTCCTTTCCTCGGTGTCTGGGCGGTCCCCGTGCGGTCCGAAGAGAGAGGGCACTCCGCCCTGAGAGCCTCTTCCACGTACCTTTCGTAGTTGGCTCGGCGCCTCTGCTATTTATGTGGGCGTCTGGTCGGCATTTGCCTGAGTTTATTATCACCCTATGGACTTTTGGTGTGCCGGGGTCACGTTGTTTCTCCACCACGAGTCGCCTGTTTGTTATCGGCAGTGAGGTCAGAGCGGCGCACCGCTCCCACGGGGTGTCGGCCGGCCGAGCCGACTGCAGGCCCGATTCATGGCCCCCGTGTCGGTGTCGACTGCCGGCGCCGCCCGGGCCGGCCCGGCAGCTCGGCGCCGGTAATAGTGGCTGCGGCCGGCCGCCGACACCTTCCCGGCGCCGTCCACCGACCGCCGACACCTCCCCGGCGCGGTGTGCCGCAGCTCAGCTCTTAATCTATGACCGTTCGTGCGCCGAGTGCAAATCACTCTGTGTGTTTTCGGCCATAACTCATGGTAACCATATGCCTCTCGTAGGTAGGTGTATGTGTTGTTTGCTACAAATCACCACTTAAGTCACTTAAGATGATAAACTGCGGGGCAGAATGTCAAATTGCACTGCATGATTTATTGGCCTTTTGCGTGTTCAAATTGCGCGGCTAGTCGGTGATTGTTAAATCTTTCTGACTCCTCTGGTGTTCAAGGTATTCTAATTGTAGTGCGTTCTCTAGAGTTAAGCTTCCTTGACCCATTTCATTTTGTTTTATTATTAATTCCTCAAACTGTGCGGATTATGTCCTGCATTAACCGGATTACACCTCTGGAGAATCGGTTCTAGTATATTTTCTCCCTATATCTCACCATATGTGTCTCCCACAACTCTCTGTATATGATCTTCTCGCGCGTCTAATTAACGCCACTTTTTTCTGGCAGGAGTTCCAGAGTCGCGGCATCGGCCATAGCAAGATCGCCACCGAGGGGCACGTGATCCCGAATGGCGCCGTTATGCGCAGGTAAGATAGCACCCCTGCCCTCCGGTGATACGTACCCAATGACCCGAGCTGGTCGTTAGAGCTGCCTCTCATGTGTACAGCTAACAGCCAATTCAGAGCTCTCGGCGCTGAAGAGCCCCACGCCGTGACACACACTGTCGCCAGTGTGCTGTGTTTTGTGCAGACTTTCGCCACCAACTGGGACGATGGCGTCCGCATGTGGGCGATGGAACAAACGACTGTGACGACGGTGTTAGCGCACTGTGTACTGGTCAGGGTCAGGTCAGGTCAGGTCATCAGGCATGTGAGATGATAGAGAAGCGTATCAACTATCAAGTCTGCCATCAGCTCTGTTTTTTTCAATGAACTAGCTGGTTCAGTGCTGAAAAGATTATCCCATGTTACTAGCTCCGCGGAGGTTTTTCACGACCGGGCGTTCCTAACAGACTTAGCCGTCTTGCTCTCATATATATTTGGGCATCGACATGCGTGCCTTCCACCGGATGAGAAGAATTTCCCGCTAGAACACTGCATTGGTACATTTTTGTGACTTATAGACGCACCTGACGCGGATTTGGAACTTGCTGCAGCTGTCGGCTGCTTAGCCAGCTCAGTGCTTAGCCAGTAACCTGATTATGTCTCAGGCTACTCGAGCTGGTCCACAATGAAACAAAAGGTTGGGCAACTGGATAATGACTCGCTTAGGCTCGATTATAGAAATGTTATTTTTCACTTTCTTTGCAACTATGTTAGGTTCTCACATTATCCGGCTTGTTTTACATTATAATAGATGGCATTTTCCTCATCTTTACAGAACCTTGCATCGTTCTTCAAGTTGTATGTCGCGCGCTGGAGTAACGATAATTGTTTAACCATAATATCAGCGTTTGGATCTTCCTCTGTGTGATGAATGGCTATTATCGCGTTATTACGAGAGGTGTATCGGCGCGATCTGCCATTGTTGGCACGTCTGGCCATAATTATCCCTGGGCATCAGAGGGCGGCAGCTAATCGCGCAGTAATCACACGGCACTACGCGCCGACCGGTGTCCAACCGAGCCGTTTCGTCAGCCACGCGACCCACTGTCTCCCAGCTGCTCACGGACACAGGTGACAATGTCACCGCAGACTGAGAGAGGATGATCGTCGATATAGCGCGTGTTTTCCCTCCAATTATCGGAGGTATTTATGGGCTTACGCGTGGGGCGCAGCGCCTCAGTGCGTGAACGATAGTGAAGTGGAAGTCATTAGATATCTGCGCCGATAAATTCGGCACGGTTTCCCTTCTCCTCTCTTTCACCCGGCAACACCATCGCTGGGACTGTGTGCAGCGTTGCATAACTGCTTCCAGCGGCCTCATGTTACGGGCTCAATTAATCTACGGCCACTCCCTGACAACTGCGAACTGCGGCGGGGCCGGGGCGCGGCGGCCGGTGCTGCTGCCGGAGCGCTGTGCCCCCGCTGCCTCGCTGACGGCTCGCCCCGGTGCCGCTCGCTGGCCGGCCAAACCAGTCGGCTGGAAGTCTCTGTTTACCTCGGGTGGAGTGGGACAGGTGTCGGAGACTGTTTGGAAACATCGCTGACTGATAGTGCCGGAATTTCGGGCAGTAAAGCTACGCACTTGAACGCACGCCCGTGCTGACTGACAGTTTCGAGTGTATTGTCAGAGGCGCCGAGAACTCACGAAGGTCGTGTGGTATCTGATCGTGGTTTTCTTTCACAATTTGCTGCCACTGATTTTACGATGATCGTGCTTTATGTGTTAAGATCGCCATGACCTGGCGACTAGGCGAATGCTACACAAGTTCAAAGCGGGCGAAGGATGAACACTTTCCCTTTCACTTCCACCCGCTGACTCGCCGGCGTTATTCCGCCGCCCTTTCCCACCCTCTTCTCCGCGTGCTCTCCTCGCTCAGCCTGCATAGCTGTGGGGTCACCTTCCCGGCCCACTGGTGGTGACACGTGTGTCACACTGTCCTGACACCCGTGTCACACTGCGCCGACACAGGTGTCGTGTCGGGTGTCCCGTCTCGGCGCGGTCGCCGGACGTTTCAATGGCCCGCCTGGACAACCGTCGACAGCCCTCCTCGTCTCGGCTCGCCCCGTCCTGTTATGCGCTCTACCCTGCACTCGACTGCCTCGTCCCTTACGGCACCAGTATTCGCCTAATTTAGTCCTTCTCCCATGCTTCCACAAGCTTCCTCGCCCTATCGCGAATCTTTTTTCTTCTCTCCTTGTCCTGTCCTGTCCTTACGTCCAGTGTCCTGAAATTGATTTTTCGGAGAGTGTGATTGAAGCCGCGAGGACGTCGCTATTTCAAAAGGACGTCGATATCGGTGCGGAGCCTAAACCACTGAAGCCCTTACCTAAATCTATTAAAATTAGCGATTTTCACTGGCAATATTGACTAATACCACCTCAAGGCACCTCAAATGATCATATATAGACACAAAGTAATGCCAGTTTATTTACCCCTAGTAAAATACAAAATTCAAGCATTCACCACAAACACCAAAACAACACTTTGAAGATGTCTAGTTCTTGTCCATGATCGTACACAACAGTCAACAACAAATATGCTTCAACAAAAATCAGCCCAAGAGCCAGCGGCTATCACTAAATATTGACGTCATAAGAGGGATATCATATCGAGCAAGAGGACTGATGTAAAAAACAGACGTCCAAACAAAGAGGTGGAAAACAGCTCGGAAAATTAATTTCCATAGCTTCCTGTTATGAAATTCAATTAAGAAAACTCCAAGGTGGACGCTGAATTTTTCTCGGCTGGAAAAAATGTGAAATCATTGTGCACTTTTCAGTTTTGTACCGACGTCGATTAAATGGGAATAACAAGGTCAATCGACGTCCCCAACATTGCGTGTATTTTTAAGCCAAGGACGACATACTTGAATTAATACTATTGAAATTCGGTAACTTTATTTTAATTCAAACAGATAAACATTAAACTTTTTCCCCAACCACTATCAACATATGCAAAATTAACTACTTTTGAAGGGCATGCTCAAGGGGCAGCGCTATCCCGTTACTGTGACCTTCTGAGGGGAAAAAATAATTAAATATGTTACAGTAATTTGATACAAAAGGTATGTTGCGTGCTTATAGATAAATGTCCAAGTAATATATTCGCATGATTAATTTTATCTATACACTGCACAGTTACTAAAACTGAAAAGTGGAAAACGACGTCCTCAGATCCCTCTATTCCGACATCTTTTCTCCTTCATATGGCAGCATTACCTTCACATGGTAAAGGAAAAAACTTATCCATATCTGACGCACAGAAAACAAAAATAAATTAAAACCGCGTTGTTTACTGTTGCGGTAGTTGGCCAGGAAAGGGGAGTTGAGTGTAAGAGTGGGTTCGTGAGGACTTAGGATATATTTATCGTCATTTTGCATAGCCGTGTTTTTAGGCTACAGAGGTGATATTTCTTTTTGTTAGTTTGCTTTTGGTGTTCGATATACCTATCGACTTTTATCTGTCAGGGACGCCGTTTGGCTTTCCGGGACGTCACAAAGAGAATCTGTTAGGTGTGGGTTTCCACCCAAATTCACGAAAATCAGGACACTGCTTACGTCCTGTCCTGTACCCAGCCACGCGATTGCGGACCCACAGTTGCCTTTCGGATAAAGCTGACGCGGGCCGCTCAGACCCTGACGTCTTCTTAGTGACATTGGAACATTTTATTTTTACGACAACCGCACAACATAATATTCACGGTGACTTTGTAATGGACGCGCGCATTCCGTGACTATGCCGGGGTTTGTTGAAATGCGGCCGGCCAGTAGACACAGAGCAGCGGAGGTATTGTTTGCCAACAGGAGCCAAGATGGCGAGCCACGTCTACCGGCAAAGAAACGTTCACAGGGAGGCCGCAAAAAAGGCAGCGCGCCGGCGGGTGAAATCTGACGATATCTCGCCGACTGTCCGGCTTACCGCAGCGGTCGCGAATGGAGAACTATCGCAGCGGAATAAAACGCGTCCCGCTGAGGCTTCTGCGAAAAACGGAAACATGGGAACATGAACTTTGTCGGGCCGTTTCATTGTGTGAGGCATTACTAGGATTGTTGTGCCTATTGTAGATGTTTTCTTGACGTTTTCCTTTTCATATCTTCATTTGTGAGGAAAAGACGTGACTTCGTGTCAGATAATAAGGAATGTATGAATGCGATTGTGATCGTAGCTGAATAAGCCCCGGAAGCTAGAAATATGTAATAGGTATATATCTTTTACGGACAGAGTTGTGCTACTCCAGGTAATCTAAGTTTGGTACTCCATTCCAGTGGACCAAATATGGAGTGGGGGTGTGGACTTAGATACAGCTGGGCTGGGCTTTGGAGGTCGTAGGAACGACTTCGTCCTATATGAAGCATAGTCTGTTGGCCATAACATAGTCTGTTCTCATGTCCGTATTGAGTCCGTTGCATTTTAATGATGAAAAGCGCTGACGCAAGGCGCTGATCATTGGTTGTGTTGGAAGTTACGTATTCATTACACACCGAATAAGGCATCAGAATGCATTAAAGGGACCCTCCCACCTTAACATTAGATTTGAGTTGAGATAGCCAAAATGGGGTCCCTGGCTCACAATTACCGGTTTCGGCACTCACAACATCGAGAAATGCCTTAAATCGGAAATATTGAATTTCAAAATTGCAGCATTTTGATTCAGAGGGGCTAATGCTTAGGTATACCCCTCTGAATGTGTGACGTCAGCGCAGATATCTAACGATTTTTAAATGTTTGACTAAAACGTTTTGTAGCACGCGGTGGTATATGCTATTTGCGCGCAACATCTGCCGCAAACGCCGCACTTCTAAAATAAAGTCGCTAGAAACAGCGGAGATCCCAAAAAAGTAAACAAAAGTAAAAGTCTAATATCTTGAAAACCGGTGAATATTTTTCGGTGAAATTTGGTAGATATTCGTTTTCGCTCTTTCTGAACCGAGCGACATCACTTTCATGCCAATTCATAAACTTTTTTTAAGGTGGGAGGGTCCCTTTAACTGTATGAGACTCGTCTCAACTCATGACCTCTTGCTGATATTGAGGTGTACGTATAATTCACGGTTCTATTTGATTCCTTAAAGGTAGTGTGCCACCTTTGAAAGATTTCCCATTTTATTTTTCCTAGAATAAGAAGCTTCTGTTTTTACCTAATATCGCAAAAAAAAATCAAAAATGGGCCTGGAATAGTGCCTTTTTCGCCTAAAAGTTTATCGGTTTTTAGATATGTATAACAACTGTAGCGGGCTCACCTGCAAACAGGCGTCGGCAACAATCGCGAATGCGGCGCACATGTGACAATAAGCAAAGGTCATTATAGTGTTACGACCATACGACGTACGGGAATGAGTTATCAGCTGTCTAATCGTAGACAACACAATGTCGAGCCTTAAACTGTAAGCCTGTATTGGTATTGTTTCTTTTATTTGGCTGTCGAACATTATTTATGGTTTGAAATATGATTTTATGTAAAATAATTGATATGAAAAAGCCGTCTCATAAGTTATGACCCCATTTCACCACACGCAAGTGGCAGAAATGACAATGATCAGCTGACGCATTTTTCTTGACTGCGCGCATGACTTCGGCCAAGGCCGAAGTCAGAGCGCGCAGCCCGACGCACCACCACCGCACCACAAAGTATGAGCAGAAGCCGCGCCCAAAGCCAGGGCCCCGGTAACGTGAGGTAGCCGAGTCGGGGCAGCGTGCGCTGACCCAAGCCGGGGCCGCAGCTTTGGGCGCGGTCTACCGCATCCCCGCGGGCAGCCCCGGGCTATCACATGACACCGGGAGGACGCGCGGCTCCGGCTTGGGTCAGCGCACGCTGCCCTGACTCGGCTACCTCATGTTACCGGGGCCCTGGCTTTGGGCGCGGTCTACCGCACCACCTAACAGGCGTGTTCGAAACCGCAGGAGCTGATGATGAACGGGTTTATCGAAACTTGATTGGATGAGCATATCGGTAATAGCGATTTCAGTGTGTGCATTTATTGTTCATAGTGGTGTGAAATGTGGTTGGGGTACGACCGACAACCCGTCGGGGCGAATTTCGCACTGGGGTATTCAAAATTTGAAGAATTTAAGACGTTTCCATGAGTTTTGAAGGTATGGATAAGTTCTAAAAATCCGGTTCTCCTTATCTGGGCCATTAACTCCATACGGTCCAGGAAAGCTGGCACACTACCTTTAAAAACTTATTGCATTTTCTTGCCTTGTTAGGTAGTAGGCGTTTGTTGGTGGCTTGGTAGACATAATGTTGTGGGCTAGTCACAGTCTGTTATGCGCGGGGTGGCTCGAATAGTGACTGGTTTAGCGATAAGAGGCCGGATCTTTTCGAGACGTTTCTGCAGCCGGCCTTTTACTCCATCCGTCCACCCACCGTTGGCCAGCTCTCGTCTGCCATTTTAGGACGAATGAAGGGTTAGGACTCTCAGTCGCCTGCAGGGCTGTCTGTCTCTGCAGTCATGCTCCAGCTCCCTCCCCCCAATGTGAACCACGCCCGCCCCACCCACCCGCCGTGCGTCACGCCCCCCTTATGACGTTGAATCGTACCGCCGTCGGCGTCATCACTCGGATGCGGTGTTATGTTAACATTCCGGCGAGCCGATCATGAGTTACAGCCTCTGAGGTGGCGGCGGCACAGAACGCTGTCCAGACGCCGTGCCGGCCGCCCCCGCCCCCGCCCCCGCCCCCGCTGCCGCCCCCGCCGCCGCGGCGCTGCTACCCGGGACAGTGGACCTTACGACCTACGAGCTTAGTCAATGGGTGTCGTCATAGGCGTTTATATGTTCTTCCAACAGTGTTTTGTCAGGCCCGAGGTTTATTCGCCGCAATCAAATCGGATTCTGAATAACTGTCAGAGGGACATAAAAGTAGCGCCCTATCCGCGCATAACTGGTAGGCTCTTTCCGTATAACTGGGACTCGAGCATGCATATTAGCTTCCGCTGAGGCATTCCTATGTTTTCCGTACGTTCTTTTTTGTACTGTCGGATTTAGATTGTCGATAGTGTCGGCTTTCTATAGCAACTGGGTGCTCTAGTGGGAAAGGAAGGCGCCTGTCGGGCTGAAGTATGTGGCTCGTGTTTCAACACATCCGCTCAAAGCTTTATTTCGCCAAGTGTGGGTACATCTGAGTGCGGGGCTTTGGTGGTACCCAGGACTTGTATTGATATGAGAAGTAGAACACTTCCTCTTAGTATTTCCCAGATTATTGATCCCCAGTGGATGCATCTTCGTCTCACAGCATGCTGCCCATAGGAATGCTAGCAGTGAATATGCGGGAATTCGGCTGTGGCTGATTGCTGACCTCATCTCCCGCTATCTCGTAATCACATTCATGCGATTGATGTTGATTTACCCACTCGCATCTACCGTATGACTGAACTGATCGGCCGCCCTCCCGCTTTCCTCGAGTCTCCGAAGACACCTCGAGTGAGAACATCAAGTGAGAGCACTGATCTTTGGTGGTCTCTCCTCGCGTACGGTGCTCTGAGGACGATGCCGTCGGCCAAGCTGGTGGTCCTCGTCCTCGTGCACACGCGCTTCCACTCGGCCAGGAACGCCATCCATCCCGACTATGACACGCTGCGGTCAGATGGTAGCGACATCGGGGCCTTCCCGCCGCCGTCACTGCCGTCACTACCGTCCTCCCCACGTGCCGCGCCGCTCCCCGCGTCTTTGGAGACACACGTGTGACGCGCGCTCACTACCGGCACAGAGTGTCGTCCTTCCGTGCAGGTGGCCGATCGCTCATCGACGATCGACGGCACTGACGGCGGCGGAGGACCGGCGCGTGCGGCCGCGGTCATCTCTCGGTCGGGATGGCGGTGGAAGAATGCGTGGAATGACGGCTCGGTGCCGATCTATCGTGGTTTGAGTTGAGTGAGCTGTGGGGAGGGGGTAACCGAGACAGGACCGCCCCGCAGTGAGGTCGTGTGTGCCGCGCCGCCGTATCGGTGTGCGTACGCCGGCGCCGCCCGGTCTGTGTTTGGTTTGGAGGAGGATTTGGACGGCGGCCGGTGGCGTGGGATCCGGACTCTGAGAACGTCCACCCGCGCCTCGGCTGTGGCGCGGGCGCGGAGAGACGGAGTCAAAGCTGGAGCTGGGACGTATTCCGGAGCCGGAACTGGAGCCGGAGTCCCGCTGTGGACTGACGGTATGTGATATCGAGCCCCGGCAAACACATAGTGACCGGTCATGGCGGGGAGCACCCGGTCGGAGCGGAGTCGGTCGGTGTTACCCGCACCCTCCCTCCGCCGCCCGCTGTTCCGGAAATGACCTCAGCCGTGGCGTGTAACACCGCTGGGCCGCGGCGCCGGGCCGGCAGTGGGTGGGACGAGCTCAGCGGCACCATGCAGGGGCTGGTTACCGGCAGATCGGCGCCACTCGCGTGCGACCGACGCGCCGATGGCCGTCGGCTGATGAATTGGCCGCAGCGGCGGCCAGCTGGCGCGGCGCTGATGGCGCAGATAGGGCGCCGATCGCAGGCTGGGCGGCTACTCGACCGGCTCGATGATTGGGCACCATCAGCGGTGTCTTCAGTGAGCCGCGCGGCGACGGGGTACCCGGAATGATAGGGGCGTTTCAGCTAATGTATGATCGTTTGGTGGAAAGAGAATTGGATGTCTGATTGAAAAAGTGCTTTGATCTGCTGTGTAGTGATGAGTTACGTGCTGTCAGGTCATCAGGTGTATCATCTGGTCGATTTATGATGGATTTTTGCTGCTCTCATAGTGGCCTAGCTTACCTTTGACGCGTTGATGGCTGGTTTTTAATTGGTCTTTTCGATTCTTGTATAATTTTTCAGCAACCCTCAAGCGATTTAAATCAACATGACACGCAAAGACTCATATCTCGTGAGCACGAATGAGTTTTGAGTAACCGGCATGCAAATGCATGTTGCTGGTCCTCTCAGTTCCCTGCTGTCCTCATGTGAAGTGCGGCTCCGCTCCCGTTTCACCCCGCCACGGCCTCACCCGGCCCAGGGGCTCACTAGGCTGTATCTATTCTCTGTCTGACAGCACTACCATCTGCGTCTCGCCCTGCCAACGTCTCTTATAAACTCTAACCTATGTCTGTCTCGACTGTCTCCTCCGGCAGGTTCTTCGACACCATGGACAGCTACCTCGCCGACGATAGACGCACTGGTGAGTACCCAAACAACCGTGACGTCGCGCTGACGTCATTTAGTGTTGTGATGGCGTCATTTGTTGACCTCGCTCGGCACGCAGTGACCTCACGGGAGGTCGGGTCGCCGCCGAGGTCGGCAGGAAGAGGTACCGGGGCGTTAGAGGCCGACCGTGAGAGAGTGGAACTAGCCCTGCCGTGTCCTCACTCAGTACGTGCCTCCGTACGTAATAGGTCATACCGACCACCCATGGGCTGTCTGTAATGGGCACTCGACCCTCGGGTGGCGGCCGAGTGAGCGCTTAACCAGCACGATGATAACTTCATTTGGCACTCTGCACCCGGCAGCTCTCGTGCCGGGCGGAAATAGTGCGGTGGCAGCGCGGCACCAGTGGCCGATTTGCTCCATTTATGTTGCACCCCGGCGGTTTAACGGTCTGACGGGGCGTTAATGTTGGCTACCACCCGCGCCGGCCGGGCCGCCGGCGCCGCGGCCCGGCGGCGGCGCGGCCGTTTGATGTGCCAGTTGCAGCCCTGCCGGCCGTGTGTTTGTTTGACTGCACTGGTGGTCATTATGGGGACAGGAGGCCGTGTTATCGCGCGGCCGGTCCGGTCGGCGGTGGCTGCGCTGTGATGGGGCCGACCACACCCCGGCGGGAGGGAGCCGGCGCTGGAGCCCGGTGCTGGAGTCAAGCGCTGCGGCCCGGCGCGGCCCGCTCCCGACCCCGGCGATAATGCACGGGGTGCGGCCGGCGCGCCCCGCACACCGCTCCCGGCCGATGATCACAGCCGCTGCAATAGAGCTGTTGTGCTGCTAACGACGCCCGGCGCCACCGCACCCCGCTGTTATGTTGTTAACTATAATTGAAGCCGCCGCTAGCAGTGATTCTGCAGTAACTGTGTCAGGTGCCCAGGCAGCCCGCTTTTATTGCACGGCCGCTAGAGCGAAGGGTAGGCGGAAGTTGTGCGATAGCAAGGAATTCAGCTGGTATTCCGCATTTACCGGCATGCGACTAATATAAACAACTCCCAGTTGACTCTCTAATCTCCGCAGTCTTGCTAGATAAGCCGGTCATTTCTAAACTGGACCCTGGGCAGAGCCGTCCTCTGGCGGTGCTATGTATGGCAGTGTGGCAGGGCAACATAATCTCATACATTTTCCTAAGAAGCCGGGAACACCGCTATCGTGCTGGGCGCGTGCTAGGTCTTCTGCAATCTGTGATTCGTGTTTTGCACTCAGCCAATAATCACCGCAATAATCATTCGGTCAAATCGGATATAAATCAGATTTAAGTGACACCGATGACGCGTGAAATAAATCTCGGCGGCCGGTCGCCATTTACATTTCCCTGTATTGGTGCTGGCGGTACAGCGTTCCCTGCTAATCGTGAATCCACAGGCGGCACGCTTCTCTGCCGTTAAAGTCATAAACTGCCGTGTCGACCAGCAACAGCACCTTTCATCTTGCCGGCCACCCTGCCTTCGTGGTCAGACGGCTGAAATACGACAGACCTGGACATGGAGCGCTGCAAATCCTTCATTCCATGTTTAAAAGTACCAGATTCGCGATTAACGGTTGGTTGTTCATAAAACCTACATTTACCGGGCATAATGAGCCATCGTTAATTAGCTGAGCAGTGATTATTGAGCGAGTATCACTTGCTTTGCATTATCAAGCTAGTTGTGAAAGCCCAGTGCTTTCATATTCACCAGTAAAAAAGGTTTTTCCCATCTTCCCTTGCCGCTTTCGCTGTGTGAAGGCTGTGGCGATGTCGTGTCGTCGTCTGCAGAGGGTAGCGCGGCCTCATGGGCGGCGGGCGGTGGACGGTGGGCGAGGGCGGCCTCATGGGCGGCGGGCGGAGGGCGGCCGGCCCGCCGCGGGTAGCCGCCATCCCTGCCCACCATTAGAGCTCCGCGTTCACCGCCCCGTGCCCCGCCCCGTTTTTATCCCCCCGACATTATCCCGATGGTAACGTATGGCGAGAATTAACTTGTAAAGTGGTGTACCTGCCGAGTTTTTGCAGCACCGGCGCGTTTGCTTCTGCATTCATGCATTTCATTGGCGGCCGGTGAGAGTGGCACCCAGGGGCGCCAGTATTCCCCTTCAGAGGACACCAATGCCCCGCCGGTCGCCGCCGATCGCCCCTGTCCCTCAGACGGGAGCTGTGTTCCGCCGGTCCCCAGGAGCCGGCAGCTGCGCGCGGAGGAGAGCTGCGGCGGCGTTTTTCTCAATTTGTCGTCGGTCTGATAGGACGTCTAAATTACACGGCGTGCTCTCCAGTAATGGCGTCTGTCGGCGCGCCCGGCGCGGCCCGCGCCAATTACCGCGTCGGCGGCGCCCAATTAGGTCATCAGCGCGCCACAACCGCCGCACCGCGCGCGCCGTATGAAGCGCAAATGAGATCGCCGCCGCGCCGTGCGCTTATTAAGCCATCTGAATGGCTAATCATGCGGCACGGCGAGGGCAGGGCAAGGGGTGCCGGCGGCACCTGGGGCGGGCCCGGGGCGGTGCCACCCTGGGATCGACCGCCGCCGCGCCAACCCGCTGCACTCATTGGCTGCCGGCGGTACTTACGGCCAAAAGTCATGAATGAGAATGTTCGCACCTCCGCCGAAAAGGGGTCCGAGGTGCCATAATTTTCCGCAGGCGGGAAACCTGCCCGGCGAAGTGTTTGAAGTGTTAAAAATGGGGTTCTTTATTGTATAACTTAGCGGTTTTGTGGGGGTACCCCTGGCCGGTGCGACATGGCGTCTCCCAAATGCGTCGTTTGGTTACGCTGCTTGTTGGCTTACGTCGAACGGTGATATCATTGCGGCTCATTGTTTCTGCCCTCGGCCGGCGAGCTGCGGTTCCCGGTACCGAGTAGCCCACCGCCGCTGTGCCGTGTTGTGGTAGGTCCGTCGGTACCCAGAGTCCGGCCTCGCCGGAGCCGCCACATCCGGTGTGACAATGGCTCGTAACGCGGCGGGCGCCGGCGGCGTGTTCCGCTGCCGCTGCTGAATACGACCGGCGCATTGACTAGCCGCAGCCGTGACCGTCCGACGGGGTGGTGTGGAGACCACCCCCTCCTCAGAGCCACTGCGGACGCTGGACAGAACTGGAGAGATCCAGACGGGTCCACCCAGACGGGTGGCCTCCGAAGGCCGCTGATGGGGGTCGCGGGGATTATCAGAGACGCTCAGCACACTGATGCCATGATAGGAGAGCCCCGACTTTGGTGCCGGGCTGACGAGCCGCTGAAACAAACCCAACAGACCGACAAAGCTGTGGGAACAGCTCAGTGTCATGGGTGATTATCACAGGGATTTGTGAGACACTTGTTCATCCCGATCTCGGAGAAGATGGTCGCCATGATGTGCGTCGAGCCGTGTTATCTGGCCCTGCCCTTACGCTGTCGGCTGCCGCTCGGTTACCTCGGTGCCTGTCGGTCGGTGGTGTCTGTCCGTGTGTCAGACGATGTGTCAGGTGTGTCAGACGGTGTGTCAGACGCTGGTAGGTCAGGTGTGTCAGTTCCTTTGTCGAGGTCAGTCTGGCTGTGTCGGGAGCGGTCTGGTATCGGCGCCAGTTGGGGCGGTAACCGTCGTTTGTGCTCGAACTCTGTCACAGAGAGGGCGGCGGGTGGCTCCGTCTCGGATGGTTGATGCTCTGTCCCCGCCGGGAGTGGCCCGTGTGGCGGCCGGTCGCTCTGCGCTGTGTCCGGTTCAGTAGCCGCGCCGCCCCGTCTGGCGCCAGGTCGGGTCAGCCCGGTGAGGTCCGGCTCGTGCGGCGACCCGCCCGTCTGGGTCCTCCTCTCCACCCGCCCGGCGCCGTCCGTCAGCCGGAGGTCGCGGGCCGCGCGTCAGGTCGCCGGGAGGCCGCGATCGGTCAGTCCGAACAGCCCGCTCCTCCCGTGCCGGGTCACTGGGGCTGCACTGTGGGCCCGTCTGTGCCGTGACCTGTGGGCGGGAGCGGCATCCTGGTCCGCCCGCTACCGATGGCATCCGGCTCCGAGGCTCAAGTTCGCAGCCCACTCTCTCGCCGGGTTCGAGATAAATATGTATGGGCTCGTTAACTGCCTGCCGGCGCGGCAATGAAATATGGAAAGCACGCATTTACGGGGGCCGGCCCGCGGTGTCGACAGACTGCTGTGGTGGGCAGGCTGCCGTGTCACCTGGGCTGCGGTGGCGACGCGGGCACATTTCGGTGGCTGCTGCGGTCGCGGCGGTCGCAGCTGTGGTCGTGGTCTTTTAGCAGGAACATCGCTGCCACCACCGGAAACACTTTATTTGGGCCCGCCGAAGCCCACCAATGAATGGCCATTTTGTCAACACTATCAGTCACAGAGGTCCCAAACAACCTCTGCTGTCGGCGGCGCCGGTGTGAATGGCCTTTTCCGCGTACTTGTTGGTTGCCATTAGCCGGGTCTGCTGGTTTAGTGTTATGTCGGTTGGTGGTCAATCCGTTCCTTGTTGACCGCTAACAAGTCCCGGAAGGCCATTGCTCTGGGACGACACACGTGTGCCGGTTCGGTAATGCCAGTTCTGCCACTTAAATGCTGGGTTTGCCCGGGTTTGGGCAAAGCTGAACGCAAGTGATCGGACGCAGTTCGTGTACGAGACCAGAAATCCCTACGGAAACGCTCGGCGGTGGTGGCGTTTCCCAGCGGCTGCGTTAGATCCCGCGGACTTTTCCGATGTATGTGTATGTATGTATAGCGCGGACAATTTAGCCCTCTGACGACCCGGAGTCTCCGGCGCGCCGGCCCCGATACGCCTCCTCAAGACACCTTCTGCGAACAGTTTGACATGCATTCAGCGAAGTGTATCGGCGTCCGAGTGCCCGGTGGCCCGATTTGATGCGCATCCCAAATGGGTGTCGCGCCGTCCGGCCCGGACCGGCGACGCCCTTGTCGGACAATTACAAATCGGCCGGCCGAGATCTGTTCGGCGCTAGACACGGACGAGCGTCGCGTGCCCCGCATTACCGTCAGGGTCCGGCGCGGCGTCCGGCTCGGAACGGCCGGCCACCGCCCAGGATTCAGGACTAAATAGATACTAAATAGGTTCTGAGGACTGGACTGTAGGGAGGAGGCAGACTTTTTTATTGTACACAGAGGGCTGAGTCACTTTTTGGAACACTAATTAAAAGTAGTTCCTTGTTCAAGAAATTGGAGCTTATGGTATTTGTGTATTTGATATATCTGACATTAAATTTTTTTGGGAATATAATGACCATGGAAATTATTTGAGCCAGATGTCGTACGTTTTTAAGAAGCGTCTTAAAGATGGTGTGACAAATTGAATCAGTTTTCGCTTCGATTCGCCCAACTCTGATTGTCCGATCTGAATTACTAAATTCACTGCTAGAAAAGGAAATTCTGTTTCTGACGGTTGCTATCGACCCCCAGTGAGACTCTGGGACCTCCTTGTCTATTTCTGGGCCCTCTGACTGTTCAGTCTCACTCGCATCTACCCAGGCGTGATCGGCGTGCACTGCACTCACGGCGTCAACCGGACGGGCTACATGGTCTGCCGCTACATGATCAGCAAGCTCGGCTTTGCGCCCGACCAGGCGATCGCAGGTGAGACGATGACTTCTCGTAATCGGGCTGTGGGGTCGGTGGGTGGAAGGTACGAGGAGGAAAAGAGACGTGAAAAGACGTGAAGAGGCGGCGGGGTGGACGGAGGGGTCGCTAAATGGACGTCGGGTAGGTTGGTGGGTTGTGAAGCCGGAAGTCGGGCTTTGGGATGGGATGGGTTTGCCAAAGACATGACGTTCCTCCTCAGCACTTGTGACTGGAGCTGACTCCTTCCATACCCGCCGCTGAGTCGTTAACCGCCTTCCTTCACCCCTGCAGCGTTCAACAAGGCGCGCGGCCACGACCTGGAGCGGGCCAACTACCTGATGGACCTGCGCGCCGGAAACTGGCCGGAACTGGTGAGTTTTAGACGCCGGCGCTTAGTTCTAGCCCTCTGTGTTTCGTCCCGGCTGGTGGAGAGTGTGTGACCATGACGGAGGAATGTGAAGTGACGGTATGACGCTTCCCGGTCGATCGGTGTGTGATGATAGTCATAGGACAGTGGCTGGCTGATCGGTGTGTAACGATGTAAGAGTGGCCGGCCTCTCCGCATGTGACAGTGGCTGGCTGCTCGGGCTGTGTTTGTATGACGCAGGCCGGCTGCTCGATGTGTGACGGTGTGATGGTAGAGTGTTGGTGTGACAGTGGCCGGCCGCTCGGCGCCCGCAGGGTCGACAGGGGCGCCCGTCAGCCGGCGGCGGACACCGCAGGGTTTAGGGAGGATCGCAGGACATGTCTCGACCGCAAACTGCGCTCCATTGACGGGTTCAGATGAGACGAGTGACGCTTTGTGTGTGCGTGCATGCTGTCTTTTTTCTTTAGCTCCTCGAGAACCTAGGTAAATTGTTTATTGCAGCATTGACACACCCGTTTTAAAAGTTGTATGTGTCTTGTACCTACAACAATTCCAACGCACCCTTTGCGCTCCAGGGCGAGAGTTGTTGATTTAAAACATTTTGTAATAGCTGTAACATGAGGTCACGGCAATTAGACGCTTCTTACTCAACTTTAAGTTTTCAGTATTTGTCTAGCCTTGGTCTTGCCCTTGAATGCGCTTAGGCACCACTTTTAGTTTGAGTGTTCTGTTTTCCGCCAGGCTCCGTCTTTCAGTCTTGTTCTATAATGCTACAGACTACAGAGAATGTATTGTGTTTCTGTTGTCATTGCACTCCTTTTGTGCTCTGGTTGTTCCTGTCATGATTTTTGCTGCCATGAGGTCATGCTGTTATCGCCTTGGTTGTTGCTCACTGTCCCGGTGAACGCTCAGCAACACCAAGCAAAGTGTACCACTGAAAATGGGATGAGTCTGGCAGGTGAACCTGTTGTTGATTAAGCAGGAAACTGACGCAGTCTACTGTGACTGGTGATGTGACTGACGATGTGACGGCTGTTGTGACTGATGATACTGACTGCTGCGACTGACGCTGGCTGCTGACGTTGTGACTGCTGCTGAGGCTACTATACGCCGTGACGCTGTTATTACTGTGTCTGATGATTAGGCTGTCTGCTATGTCTGACGCTGCCCGATCGCCTCTGTTGCAGCCGGAGGCAGTGCCCGAGGAGCCGCCGGAGCCGGTGGTCGAGTCGGACCGCCGCAGGGAGCCGTGGACGCCGGCCGACCAGCGGCGCCAGCGGCGCGAGGAGCGTCGCCGCGGCGCGGCGCCGTTCCCCTGGCCGCCGCCGGCCGGGCACCGCTGGCACCGTCCCCCGGGCCCGCCGCGCTTCTGGCGACCCCCGCCGCCGTGGGCCGGCCCCGACTGGCGGCCCCGCGGCCCGCCGCCGCCCTGGATGTGGCCCGGGGACGGCGAGGGCTGGCGACACGGACCGCCCCCGCCCCGACCTCCGCCCCACGACGACGGGCCGTCCCCAGAGGCGCGCGACGGACCGCCGCAGGACACCGGCGACCAATGGCAGCCCGAGCCCCGCCCTGTCGCCGCCGACGACCCGCCGCCGTCGGCGGAGCGCCCTCCCCCGTCGGCTGACCGGGGACACGACCGGCCTCCGCCGACCGGTACCCGTATGCTGAGTATAGCCTCCGAGCGGTGTCCGCTGGTGGTGGAGACCGGGGCGCCGCCGGAGCTCATCGTGCTAAGTGATAGCGATCCGAGTGGGGATGTGCCTAAAGCGACCACGGACAAACGGGACCAGCAAGTGGCTTCGGTAGGAATTAAAGACAGAATATCTCCGGTGTCAGCAGGCGCCAAGGGAGAAACCTCCCCAGTGTCAACGGGAGCGAAAGGGAAAATCTCCCCGGTGTCAGCGGGAGCGAAAGGGAAAATCTCCCCGGTGTCAACGGGAACGAAAGAGAAAACCTGCCCGGTGTCAGCGGGAGCGAAAGGGAAAATCTCCCCGGTGCCGATGGGCGCCAAGGGAGGAATTTCTCCTGTAGGGCCGTCGGGGGACACGAACAGAACTGTTGCGGCCGGTCGAGAGGCGCGTGATGCGCGCCTAAGTCCGGGCGCCGCGAGGAGCAGAAAACCCTCCGGGGAGAAGGGCGGACCGGCGGCGGACAGGCCGGCCGCTCCGAGCGAGCCGGTTCGCCGGGGGTTCCGCCAGCGCGCTGCTGACGCCGGTTGGAGCTGGGGTGGGCGCAGATGACGCAGCCGGCACCGCTTAGCTTAGCTTTGTTCACAAATCTCGCGGCAGGAATGCAACGCGAGAGGCGACGATGACCTGGAGTGTCTGAAATCATAGCTATTTTTGACGTGTCGGCGTTGGAATGGACCGAATTGCGGGCGCCCGGTGCTGTCGGAGCGATTGATAGCACTGCTGTTCGCACCTGATTGGCTCATCATCGGCACCCCATGTGTTTGTTGTACGGAAATATACACACGCGGCCGCGGAATGCGGCGCGTGACCGCTTATTCTGCTGTGTTTGAGAGGTATTTCGGTGCCTCCGTCCAGGTGATCACGCGTCAGAGTCGGCGCGCTAGGGTTTACGGTCGTCTCTGGTAGGTCAGGTTTAGACGCTGCCAGGAATTCAGATGATTCAGGGAATGCCGGGCCACTCGAACGGGCCCCCTGCGGCTTCTTATCTGCCGCCGCCAGGCTCGTTGAAGCAATCGTAATGCTAAGTATGTGTAATGATTCGTAATGGTATGTTAAGTTATCTTGGTGTCTGCCGCGTGACCCAACTCTGAGCCGATGATGTGTCACTGCTTCCGGTGATGCATTAGATTTGCACAACGGAATTCTCCTCTTGTCGTCTAACGAGGACATTGCCAGTTTTTACCAGACTAGAACAAGACGATTTCCTTCCACACACAGTTTGTTTTCGTAAGAATGAATGAGTGGTGTCGGATGGCCACGCACTGGCCACTTGAGATCGCTGGCGGGGTCGGGGCCCTCTCTATTCACCTTTGTTACGTCTTCGGCAGACGTCCTTGCACTATCGAGGTTTTATCCGCGACTTTTGGTCAAGGACGAGTGCAGAGTGCCCCCAAACAGCGCTCGACTGAGTCGCCAGTCTGTCGACTTAAACAGCCGGAGGAACGTACTTTTCCAGCCTGTACGCAACATGCTACTCGCGAACATGGTGGAGAGCGATAATGGCAGAGCCATGATTACTTTGACGTGACAATACATTTGACATGACATTACTTTTACTTGGACTCTTTTTGGTTTGTATCTACATTTCTACATGCATTTCTGATACATGCACTTCGGCTCGCATTTGCCCTCGCGTCTACCTAGCAACTAACAGGCCGACCGAGCTGGGTTGGCGAAGGGAACCAGCGGGCTGCGGGGGCGGTCTATGTGAGCCGCCCAGCCGGTCTCTCTAATGATCACTAACGACGCCAATGAGCCGGGGAGGCGCCGACGTGCGCGCACCACCCCCTCCGGCGCGCCGTGACTCAGATGCGCCCTAATGGGAGACGCCGCCGCCCGCCCGCTGATTGCAGACAACGAGCGGGGCCTCCGCTGACGGTGCTTTACGGTGCTGTGTTGCCGTGCCGAGAGCTGTGGGCGAGCTCCTTCGTGTGACCACTTTCCATTCACCTTTGTCTGCTATTATATCCATCAGTTTTCTGTCCGTTTGACTTCATTATCAATTGCTTTTGCCGTTAATTTATCGATTTCTTGATAGCCAACTCGTCGATCTGTGTGCCGCTTTTTCTATATGAACTTTCATTTTAGTCCGCATCTTCCAGCCCTGACTGTGGCCTTTGCCGGTTAAGGTCATCAGGTACATACATACGCCAAAGAGCCCTGCCCCGCGTCCCTCAGTCCAGGCCCAGGTCCTCTGCCACGTCTCGGGGGTCCACTGTCCTGCCGTCGCTGACCGCCAGCTCACCAGGGCGCACCAGGGAGAGTGCGCGGGCCACGGCACGCCCTGCCGCCAGTAAACGTCATCAGAGTCGATAATCAAACCGCAGGGGTGGGCGGAAGCCGCCACTGGCACTCCCCCACGTGCAATTTACATGCAAAGCGGACGGCATCACCCGTGCGTGCCGGTGGAATCGGCGGTAACACAGACATCGAGACGAGCAAATCTCGGCTCTGCCGCCGTATTTGGCAAATTATCAGACCGATCTTATCGTTAGCTTCAAGTGTTATCGTTCCATGGGTGTCTTTATCCCTGCAGTCGTTAATGTAGATATTTTGACCGGATATGTCGGTTTACTGCCTCGCATATGAGCGCCAGACTGAACAACGCACCAATTTATACACGCGTAAATAAAGATGTGCCAACGCCCGGATGAAGGGTAGTATCGCATAGCAATAGTTGAGCCGGGTTACTTATTTTGATTGGGCAGCGGTAGAGCATATCTCTAGATTTTATTGTACAACGATTAAGAAAAATGTTGGTAATGTAGGCTGCCGTCACCACAGTTTCAGCCTGCGACTCTTTTCTGCCAGTCACGCTCACTTGTCCGGGCTATCGGCTTCTCTCGTGGCACTCTCGGCAGGTATGTGACCTCTGTAGAGGCTCCCCTGCGACCGGCGCGCCGTGCAAACCCCTCAGGCACCGGCGGTGACACCGGCACCTGAGAGTCCGCAGGGCCGAGTGGCTAATAGGTCGCTGATGGGCCTTATCGCTCCAACACTGCTACTTTAGAGTCGAGGGGAGTGTGAGATGTAGGTATGCGGGCTGGGCTAGTTACTGACGCATGCAATGTCCTCGTTGGTCTTTACTAGTCTCCACACCCTCCTGTCACCTGTCAGAAATATTAAAATTACCAACGTCTTGGAATTTCTGCGCACATATCGTCTTTGTTCTCCCTCGGATCGAAAGGTGCTCGTTGAGCCCAGCAGTCACCGGCTGCAGAAGGTCCTTCACCGTCAGCCGCCTGTCGTGACTTCCTCATTGAATGCAGCCTCTTCAGGCCAAACTGCTCAGCGCCGCCCGAAACCGGCGCTCGCTCCCGCGGTCAGTCAACTGGGCGTCGATCATCAGCGCTCGGAAGCAAGTGATCGGCGTTCGAAGGGCGGGACGCAGCGCTCTGCACGCTGAACGGGGCGGCTCCCGGCGCTGCGCGAGTGTGTGTGTGTGTGTGTGTGGATGTGTGTGTCTCACGGCGCGCGCCAGCAGACATGGGCGGGTCTCTGTTGGACCGAGACCGCCGCACCCCGGGCGGCCAGAGTCCGTCTCAGAGTCTGTCAGCCGCCGCCCCTCCGCCGCGCCGACCGCGCTCCTTCCATCAGCCGAGTCGGGAAGGAAAACGGCGACTGCTGGGGCCTTGGAGGGCAGAGAAACGACCGTCGAGTGACGGCTGGGGTGCGACCTCGGGCAGAATGGCCGGCAACGTGATAGCCGAGGGTCAGCGGTGTCCACTGCGCCTTCCGTGCCGCTCTCAGCCGGAGTGACGTTGGTAAATCACCTGAACGATCGTAGCGCATACCCAGGAAATGCTGGCTGACAGGGGATAAACATACGTTGAGGAAGGGTATGCCGGACGGGAATCACATAACTGGGGAACCGCGCACGACCGGGACCGCCATAATCCCACAAGGTTTCACGCCTCAGCTGTTAGTGTCACGTTAAAGAAAACCCACTGGATGAGGTGAGCCCTCGCGGTCTGCCTGTCTGTAGCTATAGCCGCTGCTGCTGACTTCCCCGCTGCCGCTGACTTCTCCCGACCGTCGCTGCCTCTTTCTTCCCGCTGCCGCTGCCCCTCTCCTCTGCCCTTGCGGTCCGGGTCAGTCGTGGACGGCCACTCACACACCGTTGCTCGATCTGCCAGACGCAGAGATGGTATCTGAGGCGCGGCTGGGCGGGACGGCAGCGGCAGGGTGGGTCCACCGCCCGACGGCAGAATCATTACCGTAGAGGAGAACGCCCGAGACAGACTCTGATCGGGCCATCAGACGCAGCTGAACAACGGCACGCTTTGTGCGGGCCAACGAGCAGCGGCGCGGTGGCTCAGTCAGGAGCGGTGAAAGCTCTGTTCAAGTGCGCTCATTTGCGCTGGTCGGCGCGTCTCGGGTTTCCAGGAGTGTGAGCTGTCCGTCTGTCCCCTCTCGACTGGGATGGACTGGCGACGTTTGAGCGCCGTCACCGCCAGCTCACAGCTGAGTGGACGACTGACTGATGGCCAGCGGTCGCTGCAGGCATTCGCGCGCCGTCCGCACACCGGGCAGCGAGGCCCAGCTCGGGTTTCCTTATCCCGTCCCGGTATTCGAACTATGATCGGACCGTGGTGTAAATCGAACGGCCAGCTTCCCGCTGCGTGGCGCTGCGTGTGACCGCGCCCGCGGCAGTGCTATTGCAATAGTCCTCATGGTAATTGGACGTCGTAAGTACCGCGCTGTCGTTCGGAGAATATCTGCGTGATTGGCGGCCCAGTATCATTGGCCGGCCGAAATGTACCAGTTTTATTGATGTCTTTAACTTTATTGACGCCAAATTGGGCATCAGACGGGGCCGCCAGGTGGTAAATCATACACCCATAAGTGATTCCTCGAAGCATCGAGATGAGATCCCATCTCTTGTGTCCCGGCTCGGTGTGTTCGTGGACAGGCCGTGTTGTGATCCAGCAACGGGCCTGTAAACGGTTTGATGGGACATTGTCTGGACAGCAGCTGTGTCATTACTAGAGGTGGCAAAAGATGAAAATTTTGGGAACCAGACTCGAACCAGACCCGGCTGGACATTTCTGGAACCAGTCGGACCCGGTCTTAAGTGGAACCGGAACCAGTTGGACCCGTTCCCCGAAAGTCAATTAATACAAACCACTTGTAGGTATCATTACTTGCATCATGTAAAACAGCCTATTTCCCACTGGGAATAGGTACCTACTCATGAGCTAGGCACTGTGTGCAAAGAAACATTCACTTCATTCACTTCACATTTTACAATAATGTGTAGTGTGCAAGATGTATAGTTTATGGTAGGACCCGGTTGGACCCGTTAGAAAATTTCCAGGAACCGGTTTGGACCCATATGGGTCCAGACTGGTTCTTTGGACCGGGTCCTCGGGTCCACATTTTGCCACCTCTAGTCATTACCTGTCCACTGTCCAGTAGTGACGGACGTGTAAACTGCTTACAGTGGACACTATCTCACGCCAAACTGACCATTGAACCGACGTGATGGATCTCAAACAGAAACCGCCGCCTGTCCTGTCAGCCACAGCGGCTATCCGCTAGCAATATCGGCATTATCAGCGCCGGTTGGTGAAGCTTTTTCGACAGGCTACCCGGGCTTGTGACCATTTCGGACTGAATTCAAACGAACTGCGCTGATCTCGGCTGGTCCGTCCTCTCGGGTTAAATTTGGCTCATTCCGAGAATGCGGCACTTGGCGTTCCGTTATGTCGCTGATTTGACGTCAATCTGCCGTGTTTGTGACAGGGATGCCATCCGAATTTAGGAGGATTCATGTGTAGGTATTCTTATAGCGGGATAAATCAATCAAGTTGCAC